GACAGGATCCCAAGGGAGCCCTGTCCCCTGTAACCTGGCTCACGGCAGGGAGCGACTCCCCAGCTCAGCTCAGCTCAGCGCAGGAGGGACTAAACCCCAGTCACCTGACACTACTCCTATCTGACACACCCTCCCCTCGTGCGAGACGAAGCCTTTGCACACCCCAACCCTACCCACGCCATTGCACCCCAAGAGCCAGTCACGGAGAGCAGAGAAGCCCCAGCCTCCGGGCCGGTCACCCACAGCAGGTCACATCAATGGTCTCTGGAGCCAGCCCGAGGCAGAGGCGAAGAGCCCGGGTTTGGCAGCTTGAGCCTCGGCCCCATTCAAATCCCCACTGCTGCCGCCACACTGGCAATGGTTTTTTTTTGGCTGGTTAACTCCAGGAGTGTTTTCCAGCATCCCCTCCTCCCGAATCGTCCCTTTTCCCCGCTCTCATCCCTCGGCAGGGACGGCTGGAGTTGGCTCTGGGAGGCTGAGGCCCAGTAGAGCCGCTCTGGGCCGGAGACACGGCGTGGGTGACGGGCACGCGGAGCGGCCGGGGCGCGCTGGCAGCTCGGTACGGACACCCCCCGCCCCCCTCCCCACCCCGCACCCCAGGAGCAGAGGAGAGGCCTTACCTGGCCGCCTGCAAAGATGACGGGAGAGCTGGATGGCTTGGGTCGGTACGGGATGGTGACACCCTTCGGGGGAGACTGGGTGACAGGCAGAGAGGGCAGGTCAGACACCGAGCGCCGCTGGCACCAACAGCCCCCTAATCCTAACCCCGCACCCCAGGGCTCTGCTTCAGCTTTACAGTTGGCCCTCGGGGGGACCCACAGCAATGATATTTCTTCCCCATCCCCGGCACAGGGCCCGGGAGCAGAGCAGTGGGACAGCTCAGTGTCACCGTGCCGGGCAGCACGATCGGTCACCGTGAGAAGCTCTGGAGGCCCCGCTCGACCCCGGTTTTAAGCGGCTCCAAGCCTCACCTGGATGAGGCTGTAATCCCCAGCTATCCCTTTATCCCCCCAGCAGTCATTTTCTCCACCCTCAGCGTTTCCACCCCGGCAGGAGACATGGCTGCCAAGGGCAGCGGGATCCCCCGCGCAGGCCCGAGGAGGGGCCCTACCTCAAGCATGACGACGCAGATCTGTTTGACGCACTCGATGATGGACTGTGGGATCCCAGCAATGGTGATGGCTCGCTCAGTCGAGTTGGGCAGCATGTCCCCTGCCACCTGGACCTGTGCCCCCGTGCTCTGCCAAGTTGAGGGTTAAAAATAACCGGTCAGACCCCGGAGAGGGCTGTGACCTCAGCAATGAACCCTGTGGATGGTTATACATAGGCAAAACTGCTCCCCCCCTCCTCCTTTTCCCCACCAAAATAAAGTCCTTTAATCCCAGCTGGATACAAGTCAGGCACTGGGAGCCTAAGGCAGCAGAGGGGGGACCTGGGCTCAGCCTGTCCCTGTAACCCAAGCCAAGCCCATCTCTCTGCCAGCAGAGCTGGGCAGAGTTAATCCAGCAGCACCCAGTGCTAAATAGCATGACCGAGGGCAGGCAGCACGTCTCCCCCTCCAAAAATGGGAGAAGGCTGGGGAGGGGGCAGTCAGGACCATGGGAAGTGGGGAGAACAAGAACCCAGGCGTCCAGTTGTGGATGACAGCACTGGGCAGGGAAGAGTTTGCCCCCAGTCTCAGTTTCCCCGAACACTAAATATACAGGGAGCTCCAAAACATCCCAGCGATGCCACATCCCTGCCACGTGGTACCATGTGGGGGCACGCAGAGCCCCACGGGCCTCCTCCCCCCGGGGTGGCCACCACGCACCTCTCGGATCTCCTTGATCTTGCAGCCTCCTTTCCCAATGAGGGACCCGCACTGGCTGGCAGGGACCACGAGTCGGAGGGTGACCGGGGGCCGGCTGGCAGCTGTGCTGTTGGTCATGGAGCTGCTGATGTCCTGTGAGGAAGAGGAGGGGCTCAGAGGGCTTGTTGGCGAGGCCTGGCACGGCGTCCCCGCCGGAACGGCACCGGCACGCGGCGGGGCCGTGCCCAGCACAGGGACAGGGAGATGACGCTGGCACCGGGAGCCCTGGCCAAGGTGACCTCGGGGCTCTCCCAGTCCTGTTTCCCAGGGATTCCTTAACGGCCGCATTTTGGGGAAGCAGCAGCCGCACTCTGTTGTCTCAGTGGGTTTAACCACGCCTGGCTGGGTCACACCTCAGCCGAATGGGAACCGGCTGCGTCACTGCTGGGGGAGGAGGGGACAGACAAAAAAGGGTTGGGGGCTCAGACTCCACAGCTCCCGGGGTCAGCACGGAGCCTCCCGCTGCACCAGGGATCAAGGCAGGAGCTCCGGGAAAACAATCCCGGCGCCGATTACAGCGGTCATGTGCTGGCAGGGGGAGGGGAGGCACAAGGCCAGGGCTCAACTGACCTACTAAAAGCAAAGCTTCAGCTCCAAGGCCGGAGCCCAGGGCCACACTCGGCCATGGAGCCCTCGGAGGACTCCGGCTCTCGGCGTGCGTCACAAACAGCTCTGGGCTCTGCAGCCTTTTAGGCGAGAGCAGGGGGGGTTTGGGGACAGAGCTGCTCCTCCCAGGAAAGTGTCCCAAATCCAAAGGGCAACAGGATTTGTACCCCCATGGGCGAGATGACGGTCACAGAGCTCTGCTCCATAGCAGGCAAGGAGCACTCCCACCTCCCACTGCCTCCAATGCAGAGCAGGATGGAAATCTCCTCGACATCAGAGCCCTGAGCAGGCTCTAATGCCCACAGACAGGATCCAGGTCATCCAGGATCAAAATCCCCCCTGGAAGTCACAGATTTAATAGGACCAGGGGCACGGTGCAGCTCCTCCTCCAGTGCTGCACAGTTACACACCCCAGCCCCCTCCTCGGTGGGGTCGGGGATGGAGACGAGCTTTGGTCCCCACTGGGGCATGTAAGAGAAGAAGTGGCACCAGGACAAGCAGAGGCAGGGGGATTCCCAGCCCAGCTCTGCCCAAAAGCTGTTTAACCAGTGCCCAGGGAAGTCTCTGTGGGGCTCTGGCTCCGGCACTGCCTGGACCTTGACCCAGGTCCCAGACGGGCAAAGATCGGGGGCCCCACAGGGAAACACCGACCATCCGTGCAGAAATGGCCCATCCTGCTGCTCAGCCCCAGCAGGGACAAACCCCTCCCAAGTGCAGACCCCCCCAGCACACAGGGGTCAATTTATCCAGGGAGAGGGGCAAACGGGGGCAGCAACTGCGGTGAGGGGGGGGGGGAGTTGTGCCGCAGACACACCTCTTCCAGTTTGTCAATGATCATCGCAAAAGCTTTGAAGATGGCGTTGGTGGGTCCCGCGAGGGTGATGATCCGCTCGGGGCAGTTCCCTTCCGAGATGTTGATGCGAGCTCCGCTCTGCGGGGAGGCAAACGCCACCTCAGCGCTCCGGGGGCCCCCCCTCGACCCCCCCGGGGCGACCGCGGGGTGGTCGGAGTTCCCTAGGATCCCCCACTGGGGCACGAGCCCTCCTCCCCGCCTCCCTCCCTCCCTCCCTCCCTCCTCCCTCGGCTCGGGCAGCCATCTTCTCCTCCTCGGCTTCCTGCCGCGCCTGCCCACACCTCCCGGCATTCCCCGCGCCACCGCTCCGGCCGCGGCCTCCGCGCTGCCTGCGGAGCCCTCGCAAGGCCCCGCGCCGGCCCCCGGCACCCCCCGCAGCGCCCTCCCCGCCCCGGGACTCACCTCCTCACGCATCTTCTTCACGGACTCCCCTTTCTGCCAGGAAGGAGAGAAAGGAAAAAGGAAGAAGGCGTTAGCGTGGCTGTGGGGGAGGGGAGGGGACGGGGAGAGAAGGGGAAGGCGGGATGAGAGCGTTGGTTTCCTTGCTTACCTTCCCAATGATGCTTCCCACCTCCTGGGATGGAAACAAAAGCACCATTAGTCAGCGTTTTAAAAACTCCAGGAGTCCCAGAGCCTAAAGTCACCCCTTTTTGCAGCCTAAACTCAGCCCCTTTCACAGCCTAAACTCGGCCCCTTTCACAGCCTAAACAAGTTCCTGAGCACTTGGGATCTGTCCCTTCCAGACACCCGGGGATGTGCACTGACACTCTGCTCCCACCTGAGCTCCCTCCAGGTCGTTCCCCCCACCCTCAATTCTTATTTTCATCCCTGGTTGTGCCGGCCGGGCGCCA